GAAGGTAATCAATGATTTTGTGAACTTGTCAGATCTGATAAGGAAACTCGGCAGGTGTAAAATTGTTTCAAATGTCTGGAAAGTTTGATAATGGGTATTAATTTTTGTGAACTTGTCAGATCTGATAAGGAAACTCGGCAGGTGTAAAATTGTTTCAAATGTCTGGAAAGTTTGATAATGGGTATTAATTTTTGTGAACTTGTCAGATCTGATAAGGAAACTCGGCAGGTGTAAAATTGTTTCAAATGTCTGGAAAGTTTGATAATAGGTATTAATTTTTGTGAACTTGTCAGATCTGATAAGGAAACTCGGGCCGGTGTAAAATTGTTTCAAATGTCTGGAAAGTTTGATAATAGGTATTAATTTTTCATCGTATATTATCTTAAGCAACATTAAGTCATAAACCGAAACAACAAACTTAAACATAGCATGTGGTAAAGTGTAATCTCCAGTTAGAAGTTTTGAATTGAAAGTTGACTGTACTGTGTTGAATTTTTAGATCCTTACTTGTTGCTGCAACAGAACTAAGAAGCATTCTTTTGTTCGATCCGTTGAATCACCAGTTAATCAGTACCGTACAGAATGCACATAGTCATTGTGTCAATTATGCCAGGTAAGACACGAGTTTAAGCTTATAAAAAATGTAATAATTAAGTTATGATGTGGTAATATAGCAACCAGAATATAGATTTTGCTAAGAGAAATATCAAGTATTCTGCTTTTACTTCTCCAAAAACAAAAGAATGGGTAATATAGTTCCCCCAAATACTTTTATTTCTGTAATAGATTTTTTTTGTATTAATCTATAAACCATTCGTACGAAATAGCTCAATTTAAAAAAAAATATATTGTTAAGTTTTCAGTGGTATATCGTTGTTTTTAACTGGGTCCAAATAAATTGAGATACTTAATTTTGAGTATTCCCTGATAGATTAATAAATAAATCTTTTTTTTTTTTCAGAATTCCCCCATTTAATTGATAACTGTGGTAAATTCATAACTATATGACTTTTATCTCCAGAAAAATAAGAATATTTACTTCTCAGCATTTTGGTGTTAATATCTTCATAACCTCTTGATGGAGGTGTAAAATCTTTGACACCAAGTTGTGAACACTGATTGGTTTTCAAAATGAGTGTAAATGAATGAAGTTATTTCCTTTTTTATTTATTATAGGTGTTTTCTCGTTTATTATTGAGTAACTTCAGAAATGTCTATTAGTGTTCAATAATGAATTATTTACCAAAGTTCTCTGTTAAGGCAGAAGTTTAAATGTGCTCTGATGATCATTCATTCTTTTAATCCCTTCTTTAATTTTTTATTTTTTGTACCTCACAGTGGCTCGTTGGTAAGTCTGAATATCCGTGGTGGACACAGGACAGATAGCTAATTGTATAGCTTTGTGCTCAACAAACTGTTTTTTTTTTTGTATTTATTAGTTCTAGTTCAGTACCGCTTTGCTGTCATCCCTAAAATATTTGACCATTATTGTATTTTATTCTTGATAAACTGTGTATTTCTGTTCTCTTTAAATAATCTAGCATTCTTTCTTTGTGCCTTTTTTTTGAAGTTAATAAATAATTGTGTTTTAGTTACTTTATGATTCATTAAAAGTTCCTTTTCCTTAAAAAGTTGTAATTTCTCTTCTAGATTCCTAGACTCTCGGGTATTCGCAACCTGCTCCGATGACAAAACAGTTGCACTGTGGGATACACGTTTTCTAAAGCACAAAATCATATCACTTAAAGGACACTCATCGTGGGTAAAAAACATTGAATATGCTAGAGACACTGGACTGTTGGTAACCTCCGGATTTGACGGTAATGTCTACACTTGGAACATTAATGGGTAAGCACTTTGAATCCAGGAATTAATTTAGTTTACTGTATGTTGAACTAAAAAGGACTCAAAAACCCCATATATATATATACACACACACACACACTTTACCATTATAAGAGGCCTAACTGTATTTCTTTGGTTCGATGATCCTTGTATAGACAAAACTACAGTCCACATCAGAGGGTACGGCCAATCAAGAAATGTATTAGGCCTCTACGTCATACATTATCTTTTCAGTTTTACCTTTGGTGTAAAATAAATTAAATCTGTAACATATATATATATATATATATTGTTACCTCTCCGTTTTTAATTAATTTTCCGTAACCTCGTTCCGACGAAACTTTAGCGACACAAGCCCTTTCTTAAATAAAACTGGTTTATTCTTTCTGAATATAACTTTACGATACACTTTATTTCAACATTCGCGCTAAAACAAACGCTATAACAACGAACGTTAACTTCAACAATACTCTCTGACTGCAGATCAATTACTCACTACCTACACACATTGTCCCGTCATGTTTCAGCGAGGTCACGTGACTAGTATCACGCCACTTCTTTCTCGAACCTTCCTAGATTGGGGGGTAGTCTGGTATATATAAGATGGTGACCGCAACAATATATATGTATATGGCTTGTTTCTTTGTTTGTAGTAATAAACAAAACAATCACTGTATGATTTTTTTCTATATTCACATGTATATTAAGGGATTTTGTTATCTTTGTACAAAAAAGGCTCATCTCATGGGCATGGCCAACAGAAAGTAAGGAGCATAGAGCTGTACATATATGTTATCTATAATGAGTTAGGAATATTAACTGTTGGTAGATTTTTTAATTAAATATAACTGGTACATAGACGTTTATATTGGGTGAGATGAAGAAGTCACCTCAAGTTTTTTGTTAGACAGAATACAGATGTAGGAAAAAAAATATATAAGACTGTATATAGGGATCAAACAGACATACGAATTGGCTCTCTTTAAAAATGCTATAAATAACAGTTAATTTGATGCAATTACTTGCTTTGTAGTGGCAAAGAAAATATTTGTTTAAATGCCAGAACGAGTTTAGTTTGTACTTAAAAGTTTACAAATATAGTTAATCAAGTTGCATTTTTGTATTCTGAACATTTCAGTGGTTTAGGAGAAGAAAAAAAAGGCAAACAATGTAATTTTTCTTTCAGTTATTCTGAAGGGGACGTCACGTTTCGAAAAGTGTTCCATACTAAAGGACTTATGAGGATGAGGCTGACCCCTGACAGTTCCAAAATGATTATATCTACCAATACTGGTTATTTAATGGTTATACATGATCTGGATCTTACTAGATTAGCAACAGATTTGAAAGGATTTAAGGTAAAATGCCCTTACTTCTTTAAACAGAATTAACTTCGGGATTTCTTTTTTTTAGCGAATTTTTACGTCATAACGCAAGGTCACATTGCCATAGTTTTATACACCATTTATAAGTGGTTCTCATCGTTTGTTCATCCCCATCGACTCATTTACGAACCAAAGACAGTCTCGAGGATCCCCGATACTCGAACAAGTCTACAGAAGTTGACCGTACAGAATATATTAGAAGTTCTGGCATCAATAAATATGTATGTTAATCAAATATCGATATGAATTTTTATTCTAAACTATAATGCGATCTTTTGCTACGAGTCTGTGGACCATAGGTTGAGAATCACAGACCTAAATGGTAATGTACTTTAATTATCCACAAGTGTTCATTTCGTTCCCCTATCATTTTCTTGCATTTTAAAAAAATTATAGATGTTGTAATACGAATACATTGCATTTGATCTAGGTATTGTCTGGAGCATATGTCCAAAGAAAAATATATGTTATGTTTAGTTATTAATCCTAAAGTATCTATGGACACCTTTTCCTTTTGCTTACATTTTTTAAAGACGCTTAAAAAGCAATGAAAACTTTATAATCATGTAAATAATTTGGATAAATTTTAAACGTGAGTAAAAGTATAGGTTTCACACGCTGTGACGGACTGCGAAAACCAGAGATATGTCTGCTGAATTCAGTAGCTTAACATTTTTATTTATGTGTACATTGTTCGCTATTGTATACATCACTCTCAAACTTCCCCTCCATACACAGAACAATATTTAAGTCTACCAGGTTTATTATTGAACTTCTAATCGTGAATCAGTACTTCAACTGTATGATTATTGGTTCTATTACAGTTGTAGAAACACAAATAGTTCATTAGTTAATTAAAAAAGATGTAAAGGTGTGTTTTGATAGGAACCGTTTTTGGTACTCTTATTTTTTGCAGCCTAACATGTACAGGTTGATGCAGATGGGGAACACGCCCCTCTCAGATACGATAGCTTTCAATCACCTGTTCCGGGCCAAACGGAACCGAGTGGAGCTGATCAGTGACTTTCCAGAAGCCAATGATGCCTTGTTCATCTCTTCACTGCAGGTTCATCCAAACGGGTGGTGTGTTTTATCCAGGAACATGAGTAGTTACGAACATTCTGAGGTACGTTATTATCTGGAAAACAATTACAATAAAATGAAAGTATTATCCTACTGGTGGAACAAAACAACTACATACAAGAATGAATATTACATATATATAACATTACTTAATGTTCATCACTGAAGATATGCTTTTTTTCCTATCATGTCTTATGTCATCTGGAGTCTCTCGATGAAATGGACAGAGAGCATACTGGACATTTGACTTGATTTGTACTGATGCTACTGTAAGTTTATAACGTAATTCAATGTTTCTGAACGATACTCACCACGTATCAAGTTACCACTTAGTTTTGTAATTAAGATAATAACATACCTCAGAATGTTCGTAACTACTCATGTTCCTGGATAAAACACACCACCACGTATCAAGTTACCACTTATTTTTGTAATTAAGTACTGTACAAGTTGATGTATGATACACATATATTGTGTTAAAGTTTAAGCCCATGTTATAAAACAAAAACCTGGGTTAAATATTACCTCACGTTAAAGTTTGCCAATACGACGTTGACCGTCAGTGTGACTAAAAATGCATGTTGATATATGTGTGTACGTAGGAAGAAACGGTGAGGATAAAAGGTAATATCATATTCACTACATGTACTATTTGTTGGTTGAAAGATAAATTAATGTTCACGAAATCGTGTATAAACCGCATTCAGGTCCATGTTTTATTAAAACTTGTATACAAAACGTTTTGCAAAATATGTGATGAAAAAAAAATGCTTGATTTTTCAGTGGACTTGTGTTCATGACATACAAGAACATAGTATGAGTGATAAAAGTGAAAAGGATGAAAATAGTGAAGCAGTTGAGGAAGAGGAAAACGAGATTATTCCGGATGATGAGGCTGAGGAGGAGGAATCTGGAGATAGCAGTCGAACAGCTAGTCAGGAGAGTGGTGGAGAGAATCTAGAAGATTCGGGATCATCTGGACTCTGGGAAAGACCCGTTGTTCATATTCGTTTAAACTACGGACCTCAGTCTCAAGAGAGTCAGGAAGAATCGGCTAGTACCAACACACAACGTTTTAGGTTTGGCGATATTGAACTGAGAATTCTGCGACATAGAAGGACGGAGCCAAGTCTGTCTTTCACCCCAACAATCACAGTCTCGCCATCTGCATCTTCTGCAGAACAACCTTCTACGTCCAGTGGAGAAGACTTCACGGTGCCCTCTGAAGCCCAGAGGTTAGCATATGTTGTTGCAAATTCTGTTGGACCCGATCAGTCTCCGTCAAGAGAACAGCCGTTGTTCTTCTTAAGGACTGGCTCCGAGCAGGCAGCTCGAAAGGTAGTCTTAGTAGATGGGAATAGAACCTCACAAAATCGACTGAGAAAATCAAGTAAGATTCACCAGAACTATCCACGTTTAACGCACTACAGCAAAGAACCGAACGTTGGGCGAGGATTTATAAAGGAACTGTGCTTCAGCACTGATGGACGCCTTATATGTTCGCCATACGGTTTTGGTGTTCGACTGTTTACTTTTAATAAAAACTGTTCTGAACTGTGCGACTGTGTCCCAGAAACGCCTGCTCAGTTGCACGAACTTTGCACTAATCTCTGTCATGTACACTATGTGGTCAGTACAAAATTTTCTCCGACTCATTGCCAGCTTGTTTCTGGTTGTCTTGACGGTAAAGTCTGTTTTCACCAGCCAATACTTTGATCCCTGGAGTTGTTGTGAAAGTAACTCAGTATTAAAAGTGTGGTACTCGATGGAGAAAGTAGTTCTGTTAACCACCATTGCTGAAAACCGGTTGGCATTTCGAACCTCATGAAAACGAATATATATATAAGATGTTTTGCTGTGCTACTCTAACTAAAGGTTATATTATAGTATATCTTAACCTACCCACAGTTGACATTTCAAGCTACCATAAGTTATGGTCCTAATTTTCATTTATACTGAAATATTTCCATCAGGATCCATTGTGTACAGGGCACATGAAAAAACATGGCTTACTGTAATGTCTATCATGATGTAACAAGTACATGTATAGATGATGATTTATGACATTATTTCATGTAATGAGTATACATGTGTAGATAGTGGCTTACTACAGTGTATCATGATACATCATGTAACGAGTACATGCACAGTTAGTGTCTTACTACAGTGTATCATGATACATCATGTAACGAGTACATGCACAGTTAGTGTCTTACTACAGTGTATCATGATACATCATGTAACGAGTACGTGTGTAGATAGTGGCTTACTACAGTGTATCATGATACATCATGTAATGAGTACATGTGTAAATAGTGGCTTACTACAGTGTATCATGATACATCATGTAACAAGTACGTGCACAGTTAGTGGCTTACTACAGTGTATCATGATACATCATGTAACGAGTATGTGCACAGTAAGTGGCTTACTACAGTGTATCATGATACATCATGTAACGAGTACGTGTGTAGATAGTGACTTACTACAGTGTATCATGATACATCATGTAACAAGTACGTGCACAGTTAGTGGCTTACTACAGTGTATCATGATACATCATGTAACGAGTACGTGTGTAAATCTTGGCTTACTACAGTGTATCACAAGCCAGTATCTACACACGTACTCGTTACATGATGTATCACTACAGTGTATCATGATACATCATGTAACGAGTACATGTGTAAATCTTGGCCTACTACATTTTTCCATTATGGCACATTATGCAAATGGAAAAGATAGAAAAAAAATGCTCGTTAAAAGTTTTTTTTTTTTCCTTATTTTATTTATAGCTCTTAACACCAGAATTATTAAAGGTACATAACATGTTCTTGGTATCAGTACACAAAAGTTAGCTGTGATATCAGTCTTGGTGGATAGCGTCACTGTGGAACTGTTTTAACCTCCTTTATAATTATGATATTGTCAATGCATAAAAACTATTTTACCAAGTTAACAGATGAAAAACTACAGAGTGAAATATTAGTATCAGTATGTATGTACAGTTTGGGACATTCACTTATCTTGCTGTATCTGTATTACAAGCTTTATTAGTTTTTAATAAACATGCTATCTTAATCAAAACAGCTAAGGAACTAGCATCATTTTGTCACAGTACTGCCAAGTAACTCATTAGGGTTTCAGTTTTGTTTTCAAATCCCATAATGTAGATCGGTAGTTTAATCTTGGTTTGGTTTAATATTCTTACATTTTAAAACTTTTTTTTTGCATACTATTAGTAAATAGATTTCTATCAAGATTAAAGTATCGAGCTAAACTTTTCGATACTATCTCGGCCTCTGAACTTGTATAAAGAATAAAAACTACCATCTCTAAACACGTGTCGACCTAAGTAGTGCCAGTCTTTGATCATTTACAGAATACAACTTGGTGCAACAGTACAGTCTGAACACGTGTAAAACAACTGCTCTCTCTCAACTGAAAATAAAGTATAAAAAGCTTTAACAATTATCCAGTACAGAGAACTGTAAAGTAAATTTGGTGGGTTTTATTGTACAGTATTAACTGTATAGCTACTACCCCGTGCACAAAGAAAGCCTCCTGCGAATAGTTATTAATGTACTTTCTTTTCATAGATGGAGCAAAGTTAATAACACTTTATCACTAATAGTCTGAGATTAGGTTTAACTTGAAATAAATAGTTTAGCCATTGTTCCGTGACATTAAGGTTATATTTAAGAGATTTGAACTTAATTCTATTAAAAAAATCGAAACCAAAATTTCAGTTGAACCATTATAAAACAAAGTGTGACATTTGAAAAATTATTGACTGGCCTGTTGTCTCGTGCTCTGACTACTTACGGTCACTATGGATGATGGTGGTGGTTTTCAACTTTTAGAAATATTTTTCCAAGTTTGGTATTTTACTGTAGGTAAATATCAATGTTATTTACTACATTTTTCAAATGTACGACATTATGGAAGTCATGACGGCTGTAATTCTCTCATGTCGTGGCCTAGTTAGGCCGTGCAGTGAACAAGCTCCACCGATATGTCTGCGGGTGCGTCATAAAACTGACGATCAGCCCTGTTACTTAGTTCAAAGAGCTGGAAAAAACTCTTGAGGTGATGGATGATGCTGGCTTCTCTCTGGTCTAGAGTTCAAAATTAGGGAAGGTTATACCCGAATCCTTGGGATCGTTCACTGGCTGTTTAGTTCATATGCACATGCAATGCCTTTTGGGTTAAAAAAATCCAGTTCCATTCATTGTTCTGCTTAGAATATAAATTCTGCATGTTCTTGCTTTCCTCAACTCCCTTTGTATATATATATATATCACTCAATTGATTACATCACCATTCCCAGTTTTGCTCGGGTTATAGGGTTTTTATCATCTTGTATCAAGACTTTTTGAGACTATGTGTTTTTCTGACATCATGAATATGTACATATACAGTAAATTAAGTGAGCAACGAATAGACTGGATGTAATTGTATATACATGTAGAAAACTGTGAACGTGATAAATAAAGAAATTAGACTTTTAGAGAGAAAAAATCACCTTTAAAAAACTATGGTTGTAATTTATTTACCTGCTCTTTTATTGTCAAGCCTGTCAGTAGTTTACGTAAGCAGTATATAAACTGGATGTAAGTCAAGTTAATACAACATCATGGTTTAATAACAGGAAGAAAAAGGGACCTTTGGATATGCCGTTATCTTTATAGCAAGTTCTAGAATTTTGTTTATAATTACAACATAAAAAGTGTTAAGGTTATAAACTTCAGTTTTCTGTATGTAATAGATGAAGCGCCGCCAGCATGCGATTATAGATGACAGGGAGGTAACTTTTTTTCCTTTAGGTCATGTCCAGTACTCGGCAGTTATTTACCTACCATAAAAAGTGCAAGAGTAATGAATATTAATAATATATAAAAATGTTTCTTTCCTTCAACGACGAGATTTTGTGTATCAAAAGGAACTTGTTACTGGAATTCATTTTTGCTTTCTTAGTACAAGTAAAAGTATGTGTGAAATACAATAGATTCATCAAATACATAAACTAATACACTTAGTTGCTGAATAAAAAACTTGCTTGTGTTATTTAATTAGTACAAGTAAAAGTATGTGTGAAATACAATAGATTCATCAGATACATAAACTAATACAGTTACTTGCTGAATAAAAAACTTGCTTGTGTTATTTAATCTCAGACAGTATATATGTATGATACCACTGGACACACTGTCAACTTTGAGTTATAAATAAAACATTTATTTTATGTAATAATGAATATCTTAACTGAAGACTAGTATATGTTTAACACTACACGTGACATTTGCAGAAACCGTAATAACGGATTCAAACCTGCTGACCAAGAGCAAGTGCCAAGTTTGGAAAATTTCGATTTTGTAAGCTTTGTAGTGTTTGACGGCGGATTTCAATCTGTTCTCTCTGCTTTTCAGCTATTTGTTTTAACTGTCTGTGTCTCACCAAACCTTGGTATTTTTTAGTAGCAGTCTGCTTTTCTTGTGGGTCCTCTGTTAAATTAAACAGCTCTGTAAAAAATGTGAACATTTATACACATACACACACAAGTATATATATATAGATAAAACTAGCATCTTAAGGAGGAACTCTTCTTGAAAATGGATAATATAAAAACTGTAGGTCAGTGTAACGTTACATTTGTTTAGATAGTGGTTGGTGATACTCATAGTGCAGCAGGTTTTAGCATCACGATGTTCTTTTATTTGACTGAAGAGCCTTCTAGTGGTTGATCCAGCATATCACGGTCACGTGAACTTGTATACCACTAGCGAGGTTTTTTTTTTATAAGCGGATGTTGTTTGTATTTAAAGTTGGAAAGCCCTTTTAACCTAGACTGTTTAACAGAATGTATACATGTGTGAAATAGTTCCAAAGAAAGTTACTTTAGCCATATATGATTGAGAATAAAATTGTCAAATACCTATATCTACTAGTTCTGTTAAAATGGCTCTTAAACTTTAAAGTGAAACAACACCCCCTGGTTGACCTGAGGATAAAACCTCGTTAGTGCACGACAAGTTGTCTAGGCACTGTTTGCTCATGATTTCATCATCTACAAAATAACTTCATTGTATAGTAGAATGTTAAATTAATTTTTACCTCCTGTAAGATAGAACAAGTTGAATTAGCAGGGATCAAGCTTTTAAGTAATATAAATCAATAATTTGAAAAAAAAACTTTTTTTTTTCCACTACGATTTTTTTATGACATCAAAGTTTTTGGTAGTTATTATAAAACGTATGATATCGAAAGTTTCTTGTTGTTTTTAAGTACATCTTACCTCCTCCTGTGTGAACTAGTTTCCTTTCACTGACTTGTTGGTTTAGTAATTCACTCTTTTCACTCAACAGCACATTTTCTGCCCTTTTGGTTTCTATACTACTTTGGAGTTCAGAATCAAGTCTTTCGTACTGTGCAACTTTTCTAAGGAAATGCTGAGAATAAAAGTATTTGTTATTATTGGTCAACAGTGACTTTGTTCCATACCTTGGTTCTAGTCTAATGGTATTCCTGAATAAATATGGGGAAGTATTAAACTTTTCTTAGGAAATGCTGAGAATAAAAGTATTTGTTATTATTGGTCAACAGTGACTTTGTTCCATACCTTGGTTCTAGTCTAATGGTATTCCTGAATAAATATGGGAAGTATTAAACCTTTCTTAGGAAATGCTGAGAATAAAAGTATTTGTTATTATTGGTCAACAGTGACTTTGTTCCATACCTTGGTTCTAGTCTAATGGTATTCCTGAATAAATATGGGAAGTATTAAACCTTTCTTAGGAAATGCTGAGAATAAAAGTATTTGTTATTATTGGTCAA